AACTGGACTGTTTTTCTTTCTGAATTCAGTACCAGATTTTGCTGCATGGGTGTTGGTACGAAGTGTTTGGAGGAGATCCAGATAACTTCGCAACTGAGCTGGATGGTAGAAACCAAGATGCCCTCAGCCAGCCGCTTCTGGCGGAGGAGAGTTTAATGGTTCGTCGGTCACCTTCGCACAGTGCTCTTGAGGATGAAGCACACTTAAATTCACCGCCTCGGTATCCTCGTCTGTATCTGCCTGGAAAGATTATCCATATTGTAGAAGAATCCAGCTCTAGGAGGTAAGTCGAATAAGGAATACCACTGTCTTGTTTTCCTAAAATCTACTTAAAGCTGCTTCTCGCTTTCCAAATACATGTTTCCAGCCCTGCTCCTCATGTGCATCTCCAATACCCATCTCTGGTTATGACGCATTACCCAGCTTTTCAGTTTTTACTCTGTGCCTCCCTGCTTCTTTCTGGTTTGTTTAAAGCCATAGGAAGTGTTTCTTTTTATGCCTGCATGCCTTATTCTGCCCACATATTGCATGTGCTCGAGGGATGGTTTTAAACAGCAGGACTGGCACGCTGCCGTTCCCGCCTGAGGCTGCAGGTCTTGCGGTCTCATGTCCTGGTGATGGAGAAGTGATAGCAAAGTACCGAGTTACTGAGTAGGTACGTGAGTAGTGGTGGTGAGAAAGAGGCAAAATACTGCCCTGGCCTGGCTGGAGAGGTCCAGTTGCCCAGTAACCAGTGCGCCCATGCAGCCTCTGGTTTCTTGTCCTGTGCTGCTGTGTTGTGGATGCAGGAGAGTGAGACGGAGGCAACAGAAAAGCTGAAATTGCTGGAAGGGTGAAGAGCGGGGGGGAGGAGAGAGGTATTTGTGTTGTGTTGACGCTGGGGTTTTTAGACAAAAAAGCCTGAAACAGCCCACAGGCTAGACAGTCCTCGATATCCTCCCTTGTTTCATTCTGAAAGAGAAATAAGAGCAGCTGTAACTTGCCCAAGACCATCTTACAGAAGAAAAAAACCATCTCTAACTTACAGAAGAGGAAAGAAAAGGGCTGGAGAAGAAATCCACTTTTTTTCCTCCCCTTCAGTAGATTAGTATTGTATTTAAGCTTCACATCATTAACGTTTAACAGTTTTGATACTGGTTTTACAAGTCAGATACATTAACACCTGTGACATAGCAGGCTTACTGGATGGTTGCTCTTCTGTTGAGTTCACTTCTTTTCCTTCATTTACTCCACAGCACAGCATTTAATCATTTTTTTTTCTTAACTGGACTAGCACACAGGAGCCCCCATCATGTACTGTTCTCTAAATAAAATCCTAAATGCACACTATATGTAGCATTAAATCCAGTGTCTCGTCTCCTTCTGCTACCACTGTGACATTCCCTAAAGGTGACATCAGCCCCTGATCCCCCTTTGCTCGGCCTGTATCCAGTGTTTCTGTGAGCAGGGTTATTTGCTAGCTGCTGTCACTGTTCAGGCACAGTAGGAGCTGGCGTAGTTCTGCCTTCAGGGGGGTTTAAGGGCGGTGTGTCTGGCTGCTGGCTGCAGGTCAGCCCTGGAGCTGGGGGAGCTGCTTTCCTGCAGGCTCCCGTTCCTCCCAGGGCAAGGGCCGGACCCTCTGGGTTGGCTGCTCCAGGCCTGGCATCGCGTGCTAGTTCTGACAGTCTGAGCCCTTGTATTGGTATTTGTGGTGTGCATTGGTGGTTTTTTTTTCAGGTTGTGCTCTTCAGATATTAAATATGCGGCAAGATGGTCCAGTGAGGAAGTCTTCAACAGCATTCTGATAAGTCCCAAGATGGTAACAGACCACATGCCAGACGTTGTGCTCAAAGCTCTGAAAAGTTTGTCTCAGGAACATGGATCGTGTATGTCTTGTCAAGCACGAGAATGTAACGCCAACGTGGAATAACCCAAGCCTGAAGATGAGGTACGAGGTTTTTTATTGGCGGTTTCAAGTATTCAGGACACGTTCATCCCACCTCCATACCTGTGGGGCTCAGTACTGCTCTCAGATTGCGTAGAACACACAAGGGTCCCAAGGCCCTTGTCTCGGCAGCGACCGCCAGTAGCAGTTTGCTGGTTGAAGCACAGATTGCGCATTCATGCTGGAGGTTCAGCTTTTACAGAACAGAGCAGTAGGACAAGGTCCAGCTGAGCCTGCGTCCGCTGAACACTCGACCGCGGTGAGTGCGGGCGGGAGGACAGCTTGGCGTACGCCTGAGAGCAGAGCCCGGTCAGACCTTAGAGCAAAGTCATGAAAGTCCCGTTCTGCTGCAGGGGTCACAGCAGGCCCTGGGCAAGGCCGGTGGGCGGTGTGGGGAGGGAGTGCAGTGGCAGCCCTACGGAGGGGCTGGAGGCAGCAGCAGCAGGGCTGCCCCCGCCGGGTTTTAAGCAGGCGTTCTGGGCGATTGCACTATTTTTTCTTAGAGATTGTATAATCCCGGGGGGGGGGGGGGGGGGTAGGTGGTTACATGCTGCTCGGCTTTATGTGTGCAATATTTGATCTGCCTGTCTTTTGTATTTGTTGATCCACATGACTACTTTTATTGGTTTTTTAAACTAATACTGTAACTACTTAAGAAAAAAAAAAACATTCACTCTGCCTACTGAGAACACCACTCAAATTCTGCCAAAAAATGTATAACCAGTTGTAATGATTTTTAAAAAGTTAATTTCTTGTCTATAGTGTGTGATTATTTTAACTTTTTTTTTTTAAGGCCCAGCAGTATTTCTTATTAAAAAAGAAATCAGCTAGAAATAAGTCAAAGAAGTATGATGTGGTTGAGACTAACTGTGGCTGTTCTTGCTGTGATAATATGGAGACAAAATAAAATGCACTCTAAAACCTTGTCTGCCCCCGTTGAGGTGTGCTGGTGTGAGACGCAGTTACTGCTTACGGCTGCTCGCTAGAGGTTGTGCAGCACGGCAGCCCCAGCAGGTGCTCCTTCCTGGAGCTGGCGGCTGCAGTGCTGCTCGCCGGCACCCCAGCCTCACCCAGCCCTGGGAGCGCTGCAGCCTCGCCTGCCACAACCCTGGAGAGGGGGACCTGAGCCGCACAGAGCACGGCTGCGAGTTCAAAAGGCATTTAAGCACAAACTGTACTGCAGGATGAGCCACCATTTTACAAACCCTTGAAATAACAGTTTTGGAGGAAAACACATAAGCACTGCTGTTTGTGTACAACAGAGAGAAATGGGTAATTTTTTTTCCCAGTTGTCAGCAGCCTTAAAACCTTGTCTTGGCAGCAGGCGCTGGGAGCAGGGCGGCTGCGAGTTCAAAAGGCATTTAAGCACAAACTGTACTGCAGGATGAGCCACCATTTTACAAACCCTTGAAATAACAGTTTTGGAGGAAAACACATAAGCACTGCTGTTTGTGTACAACAGAGAGAAATGGGTAATTTTTTTTCCCAGTTGTCAGCAGCCTTAAAACCTTGTCTTGGCAGCAGGCGCTGGGAGCAGGGCGCTGCCACGTCCTGTGATTCTGGTTCCGAACATCAGGGCACAGGGGCAGTCTGCAGTTGGCCATTCCCCCCCCTCCCCCCCCAGGTGACCCGTACACTGCACTGCTGCTGGCAGCAGAAGGACAACACTTGTTCAGTGGTACAAGAGTGAGGACACTCAGCTCAGAAACTCAAATGTTGCCACACACGTGATTCAAGGTTTTATTAAGTCATACATGCAAAACATACTGCTAATTGCATTAGCAAAAGATCAATGTAAAAACTTCACAATTTTGCAACTTTTATTTTTAAATTTTGCTTTAGTGGTTGAAAGGGTGTAGTTCAACATCGTATTCCTGCCCGCTGAGGATGTGCAGAACATGAGCACGAAGTTACAGAACCTCACAGACTCAAGTCACCATCACTCAGTCTACGCTGCACAGGTACACGTAGTGACATAAAGAACACTTGTCTGCGTTCATTAGTAACGTTACAGTGGCGGGGACAGCTGGCAAAGAGTGATATTTGAGAAGGTTCATAGTTTATAGAGATTTAAAATATAAAAATCACTAAAGTGTGTAAAGCTGCTTCACATGATTTTTACACCTAGTTAATAGACTAAAAGCTCCTCAGAAAGCATATAACTTACTGGGTCAGAAATAACTAGAAAATAAGGAGGCTATGCTTGACCAGTCTACGGATAAAAAAAAAAAAGCAAATTTCTATCATCAGAAAGATTTTAAAACACAAGTTATAGTGCTCAGTAAGAAGAGCTTCTACAAGAAAAGCATTACTACACCAGAGTTGTGGGAATGACTGCTTCAGAACTGTACCTAAACGAATGCCCTGCTTGAACTTCAGAGGAATCTCCCTCTGAGCATCGACCTCTCCCAGTGCCGCCCTGCCGAGAGCGCAGGTGCTGTGCTGGAGGTCAGAGCCGCTCAGCCACCCTGGCAGTGCAGTGTCAGTCATCTGTACAGTGTCAAAATACTGCGTGGCACTAGCGCTTGATCCAACCCCCGGTGTCACTTACCGTCACCATACAATGCTGTCAAAGGACTAGATACACTTCAGTAAGAATTGTTATTTATTCATTTTTCAACTCTCAGCAGCAAGAACCAGATTGCAACCAAGCCCTTACCAACAATAAAGCATTTTACACTGTGACTCACAGCCATCAGTCATTGTCAAAGATTTAGGTTCGATATACAATGCTATGCAATGACTGTGGGTTGAGAAAACATTTAATAGTAAAACAATTAAGACTGCAGTGTTTTGCTAATTATACTGTACTGTTACTCACTGTGAAAAACTAGAAAGTGTTTTTGCTTTTCCTAACAGAAATTAGAGTCATCTTCAAGAGGAATCTTTAAAAAACAGTTTAGTGCTTAGTGTTCGTAGCACAACAATGCAACTTAGTTCAGCAGATAGTTTGGCAACACTTAATTGAGCAAGGATAGGATTTTAAAAATAAGGCTTTACATAGGTTTGTCTTTTCGGGAGTTTGCTTTTAGAATGCAAGGTAACTTTCATACTTTAACTGAATGAAACCGTGAAATTGTTGATTGGTTCAAGAATTTATGGAAGATACCTAATTTATAACAGAAAAAATTGGCATTGAGTGTGAATGCTCCATTGTTCTGAGCAAAGCCCGGGCTGGGGAGGGGTGGGGGAGGGCAGCTTTTACAGCAGCAGACATTTTCTCTTCCTCTTCTTTACGGGAGGGGGGCACAGAACTGCCCGGATAGCTTCATCAAACACTGTCTTGAGGCCTCGCTGCGTAAGTGCTGAGCATTCGAGGTATTTCACTGCGCCTGTGGAAAGCAAAAAGGCAATCACAAAGCCGTTTTCCACAACTGCAGCAGCGCTGCTTCCAGCTAACACCACAACAGAAGCCAGGCATTTATTTTAATGAAGGCACAGCATCTTCCACAAACAAAATTCAGATCAACAACCACCGCGCTGCCGTCATACCGATCTCTTTTGCCATGGCCAGGCCCTGTGGGTAGGTGATAGGAGTCAGCTTCTTCTCCTTCAGTTTTTCAATAGTGTCCTTATCATCCCGGAGATCGAGCTTGGTGCCCACTAAAATGATGGGGGTGTTGGGGCAATGGTGCCGCACCTCAGGATACCACTGCAAAGAAACAGCGGGGGGGGGGGGGCACGTAAGACCCCGTCAAGGCAGTATCAAAAAACAGCACACAACTCCAAAACAGTTTTACTGAAGCCAACTGGTATTTCCGTATCCTTTAAAAGTTTACCTTAAAGGGCTGTATTTTCTCCACAACCCAGCAATACCCCGATCTGCACTCCCCCTGCCCCTGGAGACCACCTCTCGGCTGTGAAGTCTCCACAATGCCATACAGCCGAGTTGTCCAGGGCTGTGAAAGACTGCAACAGCCGCAGAGCACGTGCTACAATGCTGGCCGATGCAAGAAACAAGTGGTATCAACCCAATTTTTATATGCCTTTGTTTTTTAATATTTAAATTGCATTAAAAGGAAAGTTCCTGTTCGTGATCTTATCACCTTGACTGAAAATTCCTGAACTACTGTTACCCTGTCAGTGCATCAAGGAATGATTCATACTTGGGAGTGTTTCACATGCCCTGAACTTCCATGACTTAGAAGTCAGGCAAAGGGATTTCTGCCCTGTCAGACTGCATTTCACATTGCCTGCCAAAAAGTCAAAAGAAGTCACCTAATGTTTTCCAGACGGTGCTGTAAAGTGAAACACTAAGTCAAACCGTTAGAAATAAAATGATACCACCTTCTCCTTACCTTAGCACGGACATTTTCAAAGGAAGCGGGACTCACAAGGGAAAAGCAGATTAAAAAGACATCCTACAAAACAAGTTGGCAGAAGTTAGCCCAGCAGAGCAACCACGACAAAATCTCAGCACCACGAGCAGGCTGGTATCGCCAGCATCTGTATCCCACTGCCATCCACCTCACACTTGCAAAAGGGGAGGTCAGCAACACCGCTGCACATGGCAATCAGAGGTAGCTTTCCCAGTGGGAAATCCATCGCCAGGCAGCTACAAGCAGACATGAAGGGGGGGAACGAACAATAAATAGATTGTAATGAAGTTTATAATCAGTTATTGCAGTAGCCAGCATCCAAAACACTAATACCATTGCACTGCAAACTTTTTTACCCCTAAACGTCATTTCTTCTCCCTCACTGACGTTCAGAAACTCCCCCAAAAAACACCCCATACTTCAGATCCCTGACAAACACGGGAAGCCATGGATGGGCTTCCTAACAGGGGCTGGATGCTCCCTGCAGACCTCTGAGTGACTGGAGCCTTGAAAGACACATAACTCATCTGCAAAGGATGCTGCAAAGTGGCACCGTTGGCACCAATTTTCCAAATACAAATATACTATTAATATACTAAAGTAGTCTAAGGCAAAGTATACAGTATGAAAAAAATCATAAGGCGATAATTTCTACAATTATTACTCCCGTGCCCCAGTCAGAAGAACCTTGTAGAACTCAATGTCCGTATAAAAAGATTTCAGAATTGCTCTACAACGAAATTAGGATTGAGAAAGGTATTAAAAACCTCAAAGCTCCCTCCTCCCCCTTCTAAATTATGAGAAAGAGAGAACAGTGGGTGATTTCAGGGATCTTGCACATCTCACTTTTCAACTGAAGGCAAAAGAAAGATTTTTAAGTAAGAGCAGGTAAAAACATTTTAGAGCAAATGCTTACACTGACTGTCCTACAGTATACACTTAAAAACCCAATGAGCTTCATACATGACACACTGTAGTCTACAGGCATTCAGAACAACCACAAAATCAATTTTCGCTGTCCGACCAGCAGACTGTAGTCTTGCTGTATGACCCAAAACTCAAGAAGCATCTCTCACACAAGCCCAACTTTCCCCAACCTACCTCTGTGTCCGTACTTATTCCGGTACCAAACGTGTTAAAGAATCAGGGGTTTCAGAATGTTAGTTGATTGTGCTGCATTTCAAGGCATTGTGTTAGGCCAGCATCTGACATCTGCACTGCTAAGCACTTGCAACCCCATTGCTCATGCATCACCCCAACGAGTTTCCGTAGCAGCGTCCCAGAAGAAGAAAGAAACAACATCAAATAACATGATACTATGGCCACTACTTCTGTTTTCCAATTCGGCAGGGTTGTGGCGATTCAGTTCTGCACATCATGCAGACTCTCTCCTTTACTAGCTCCAGAGATTAAAAAAAAATTGGCGTAGCCATGAGGAATTATGTGAAGATTTCAGGCGTCTTGCACACTACCAATCTTAATAAACAGGAGGAAAAAGCTGTTTATTTGCAAGAAACGATTTAGTCTTAGCAAGTCATATGGAAAGATTTGGTAACAAGAGTTCTCAGATGTAGCAATTTGATAGTTCCAAGAAAAGTAGTTGTTTAAAAAATAGGGGCCAATTTATCACTGTCGTAAGCAAGACAAGATGACAGAACTTGGAACTGAAGTTTATTTAAAGTTTTACATACGGCAATAGGTTGATCTGTGAGACTGGAAGATATATTCTTACCATTGGTTCCTCCAACCTAATAACAGCAGGAGATAAAGTTACTCCTCAAATGGATTTAAGGGAAAACCTTCTCTCAGTCAGTGATTTCCCAAATATTCACAACGTGGCTTTTCTTCCAAGAGAGATGCTGCCCTGCAATTCAGCACCACCAGCTGCCTCCAGCCAGCGCAGGCCACCAGACCTCCCCATAAACCTGCGCGTGCCCATCTGCGTTGTCAGAGGAGACTTGCAAGAGCAAACCTCTCGTGAAAAGCATCCTCCTAAATTAATTTTCTTTTTGGTTTGGTCTCCTGGGCAAACAAGGTTAACCACCTTTTCTTTCCCAACTTCCTCCTTCCCCAAATATTTTGAAATACTGGTAAAACTCATTCAGGAGAAGGTATTAAATTCCTGTATAGTTTAAGGAAAAAAAAATAAGAATATAAATACGGGAAAAAGATACAAATGAATGCCCCCATGTGACAAAGCCCTTACTGTGAAGTTAGCAGCTGTTGAGCTGCTGGGTGGCTCATGAAGGTACACATACAGGCCAAGGAGTCAGCAACACCCATGCTCACCTTGCCCAGAATGTCGTTCATGTGCCTGTACAGAGCCACAAGACCATGGGAGGGGCGAGTTTTACACAGCACGGTGAAGGAAGGGGGAGGCCAAATGCAGATCCTAAAAAAGTCTGGATTATCAGTACCACGGGTCTCCTCCTCGTGTTTTTTGTTGGTTTGGAGGGGGTCTTTTTGTCCCTTCAGTGATGATGAATCTTACATATTGCACACATCTAAATCTGAAGACTGCTTCATAAGAAGGTCAAGGCTTACCACCCCATTTCACTTGCTGCCGTAAAACCCAATCCAATTAACTGGAAGCACTTCAGACCTTTACTTAACAGTTATACGTATTTGTACAGAAGAGAATGTTTTCCTCAACAGGTGTGCTTAGCTTGCCACGGAATTCTCTTCCAGTCTATCAGAAAGCCACAGTTATTTTAACAGGCTGAAGACATGCACGTGCATTCTGCCCCTTTGTCATAGCAGAGGAACGATATTCTCCCTCACAACTCCACTTTCTCACACCACTGAGCGACCTTTCACAACCTACCTTTTTCTACTCTTTCTACTTTTTTTTTTTTATATATTTTTACAATGTTAAGCAAAGCTGAAGTTCTAAGTATCCTATAAACCCGTGCTAGAGTAAGACAGGTTTCCATTGTCTCTCTTCCCAGGAAGGGCAGGTATTTCTGGCATTTCTACTAGAGTTGCCCAGAACTGGCAAGTTCATGTCCATCCTGGTATCGTAGCTGACAGGAAAGCCTAACTGCAAGAGTTAGTGAGCAGTGAATTAAGGAAAATTGTGAATTGAGACAGTTTACTAAAAGAAGCACCAGAGTTCATTAATTAAGAGTCACATTATTCAAGAGAGTAGTTATGCCGTAGAGTAACTGCAACAATTTGACAGTTAACAACAACAACAGTAATCAATTCCAAGAAACAGCTGCAAATTACCACCTTTCTTTACTTATAGCACAGCTCCATCCAGCTGCTCTAATGAGGCTAGAAAACAAACCTCTACAGAGATAACTGGAGCTGAAGTCGCACTGGAAAGCGGAGAGCAGAGCACTTCGGCATCTTCCTTGTACCAGGACAGATGCAGCATGCAGACAGGATTTAACCAGTTGCAAGCATGGAAGACAGAAGTGCATTTGTATTGACGTTATAACACAAACTACAATAAATAATAAAATAGCCATGGGCTCAAGTACATTCGAAAGCTCTGACACAGCCTCTGTCAATATCCGTAATATTTTCATTCAGTACTGCCTCTTTCATGGTGAGAACATCTTCACAGAGACCAAACAGTATAAAGTGCTTAGCAGTGACAGTGTCAGGTTGCAGCCAAACACCACGCCTGAAAACGAAAACAAACCCTGCTTTTGGCAGGCTTGCTAACCTTAACATCAATGGACTAGCTGACGGGACTATTCAGCCAGGGGGTTTGGGGTAGTTTTTGTTTGTTTGTTTTTTCTTGTTTTAAATCAAGCATTCTAGCCCATTCTGAGGCTGCAGCTACACAAAAGCCAACATGTACCAGTGCACTTAAATACACAAGCATGTAAATTTTAACATTTGCACAACTGCACACACATCAGGATTACAATATTACAGCTACAGCAGGGAGGATGAAGGAAAGTAGCTTGCAACACATCACTGGTACTCATAAATACAACCCCAGATGTGACAACGCTGGCCTTATGTTCAAAACGAAAAAACCTTTATGCCAGCCAAAGCTGCACAGATTCTTTCTTGTTTCACACTGCGGTTCTTACTGTTTGCGGATAGGAGAGTGGACGTAGTCTGTCATAGTCCTCTTGACCAGCTGTATCCCACAAACCCAGATTGACTGGTTTTCCATCAACCATGACATTAGCAGAGTAGTTGTCAAAACTGAAAAATAAAGAAGGAGTTAGCTGCATTAGCTTGCAGTGAGATAGTGCACCCAAGGACTTTTTCCTACAGAGTCCTAACTGGGAACACTACGAAAGGAAACATTTTTATCGCATCCTCCTGCTCCCCAGAAACAGTAGAGTTGTTCTTTAAATACTGAGCCTGGTATTGGGTCACGGAAGGAAGATCCATGCACAAGAGTCTTGATCCAGCCTGAACTGAGGCCATCTTTCTCATTGCTCTTCCGAAGGAAGTGTTAATCTCAGTAAGTACAGGAAAGCAGGTGATGCACTTAGCAAGCACTTTCCAGCCTTAGTGGGATATGCAGCAAGTTAATCTGTCTCACTTTGTAAGCGTTAGACTAGGAGACAGATGAGCAACAACAGGAATCCTTAATGATAACAGTAGGTAAGGAAAAAAGAACACTTACTAATCCTGCTAATCAAAAACCCCTCCAATGAAATATCAAAATTAACAACCAGGGGCCAGTAGAGGCCTGATTTTTATCTCCTGTACGCGCAAAGGTTTTAATGACTTGTTAGGGCTAAACTATGTTCCCAGTGAACAGAAGCATACCACAATATAATAATCTGAATTTAAGACCAGAAAAAGGAAACAGGAGTAATTAAAACAACAAGGCCTTGGAAGGGTAATCTGCAAATCTCATTAGAATGTATTGTGTTATCTGAAAAACTCATGAATACTTCCGGAGAGCAAGATAGCCAGATAAATACAGAGACATGCAAAAAGGCCAAAGAAGCTGCTCGTGTATAAAACACCTCTCCCCAACAGGCCCTCAAAAAGAGAACTACACTAATACTGATACCGACAAATGCTTACACGCAAGAAAATGGGAAGCACCAAAATAAATGAGCCTGAGGAACACCCAGAATCTCGCCTGAGGAGCTACAGAGCTGTGGCTGGCTTAGCACAGGATTGGCAGCAGCACAGGAAGTGGAAGGAACAAATGAAAAAGAAATCTCTAGTCACATAAACCAACTATTTCTGACCACGATATGATGTTTTACAAGCTGTTCAGCCTTGGGGCTGCTTATTACGAATATTAAAGATAGAAATAACACTATTTCAAGAGGAAATGTTAGTAAGTGTTAGTCCCTAATAAGCTCGGCCTAGAAGGCAGGGAGAGGCAGAACTGACTGGGCATGAACAGGGGCTGGTATGACTGTGCCAAGCAGTAAAGCCCGAAGTGCTTCTCCTTCTGCACACCTAGATACTCCGTTAAACATTCAAGACGAAACTGAGGGGTGCTTGCAGCCAATTCAAACAATCCAAATAAAGAATCTGGAAGGGCAGTAAGCACAGAGGAGTTGACATAAACGAGTTCATAGGATTTTGTAAGTACTTACACAGTGGGTATATATTCTCCAGGAAATGCATTGGTTGTGTAACTGATGAGTAGGCATGTTTTACCTACAGCACTGTAAAAAGAGAAAGTTCACATGTAAAACACATTCATCTTGAATAGTGAGAAATATATTCCTTTTAGGGAAGAAGACTGATTACATCCAGTCATCTAAGGAACAACCGAGTGTCAGTAGTCACTACTGTGCAGGGAAACAGCTAACAGACTGTAGCCTTGAGATTACCGGCAATGAACACACACCCAGTACAAACATCCATTTTGTGAAGTGGTCAATTACCAGATTTTGTTAATCTTCAGACAAAGAAAACTCACAAGTATTAATAAGACTACTAACATCTGCTAGACACCTGACTGAACGCTCATCAAGACCGCCTTACTCCAACTCCCTGAAATTAAAAAAAGTATTTCCAGATACCCTTTACACAATTCCAGAATTGTTACCTTTTCCAGAAAATGGTATACTTTCACATAAGTAAAGTTTGAAAAAGCTTGAAAAGCATAATTTCTCAACACTGTTACTTTTGAGTATTTGAGGAGCAAATACAAATTATAATCCTCACAATATTTATTACTATTGCAAAATAACTCCCAGCATGAAGTTATCAACTACTCAAACATTCCATGAACTGATTTATAGATAAATTACACTCCGGTATTGCAGAACATGGAACACCGAACCTTTCTGCACCGATCTAATCCTGAACAGCCTCAAATGGGGACAGGACAACATTCTGTTCCAGGTTTCTTTCAAAACTCTGGCAGCCAGCTCCTTTCCTCTCCACCCTCCTCCCCGTATCTTATCTAGAGTCAAACATTAGATTAACACCACCACTGAATTTTTATTAGTTTCAGTTAAAGGGCTGGAAAACATGGAATTGCACAATATTTCTTTTTTTAAAATAGACTCTGCAAAGAGCGTTTCTGACACTGTAGACTGGTTCCCAGGCTGGCTTCTCACCGGGAGCACCTCAGCCTTTAACAGCGCGAGAGATTCCCGAGGCAAGTGTGCAACTAGTCCCTCAAAAGCAATAATGCCCAGACAGCCTTACACTCTTCCCAATCACTCTTCTCAAACTCCCAAGCAAGGAAAACTGCATTGTCTTGCAGATGTTTTATCACTACAATGATTTGCACAAAGCAAGTCAGCAGTAACTTTGAAACCTTACTGTACTTACACATATAATCTTGCCATTAGCATCAGGTTTGATTCATCAGCCTCCTGAACTAAGTCTTTCACAAGCCGAAGGAACTCAAAGTTTTAGTCCAGAACTACACTTAATATTAAAAAATCCGCCCAAGCCAAGAACCAAATGGTATTGCTAAAAATATCCTATTATCCTTTAGCTTCTGCAGAAGAAAAAAAAAAACTCACAGAAACAAACTTTAGTCAAGGGCTTACTCGCTCTCCAGCTGCAAACATTTCAAGGCATTCATATCTGAATTTTACTATGCATCTTCCACTTAAATCATTCCATTGCTCCTCCTGGTTTGGAAGCATGTGGATTGTCCCTTCACTTACCAAAGACCGTCTTCAAAACATTATCTAAAATGATTTAACACTCAACATCAACACACCAGCCATAGCTAGTGACTCACAATTTCAGGCAGGTTAAGTAAATTTGAGCTTGGTCACAACCATAAGTTCCCGTGTATGCTGTAGCTTAATCTGTAACAAGTCCCTCCATTAAACTGCAAGCAGTTCCACACTGCTTTAGCCCAAGAAGTTATTTGATAGCAGCCTCTGACAACATTATCTTAAATGCCTGTGCTACAAAAGTCACTTCAGTGTGCAAAATCATATACGATTTTATCCTGCATGCTCACTGGTTAATTGTAATTTTCTGCTCTTGTGCAGACACCTACCATATCATCCCACCTGCTGCAACTCTCTGACCATACCATGCAGTTTGCCACACTACTTTCCCACCTGCTTCTATGGAAACAGGATGCCAGCTCCTTGCACAGTCTGAGATTTTTTTTTTTTTCTCCTTTCAGCATGCACTCTCTTTTACAGAGCTATAACAACAAAAAAGGGGGCATTTAATTCTATTCTCAATAAGTACAATCTCTCAACATTTTCCTGCAGTAACAGGCTTGAGATACACTTGTGCTCAAAAGTAGGAGAGGGATTTACCCTTCAAAAACTTCTGTGGGAAAGAGTCAGAAGAGGAGATCCCATCTTATCTCTTGCACTAGCAGTCACTGACTCTGTAGCAAGCCAGAACAAGGAGTTAAGGAAAGCTACTCACTCCACCTCCCCCTAAGGACAACTTGCTATTGTAGCCCCCTGAGCTATCAGTTGGATCAGTTTGAATATATTGCTGAATTGCACTCACATCACCATAAAGCAGGTGACGCTGGTCCAGCTTACAAAGGACAAACGTGAAAACCTTCAAAATACAAAGAGAAGCAAAAGCTAGCTTCTCTGTGAAATTTCTTGAGGCGCAGAAGGCTACATGTTCTCATGCTTCTAGAACCTGTTTGGTCTGACGCTTCACTTTCCCATAAGTTCATTACAGGTAATTTAAACTTCTATCAAATTAATACTGAACTCAAAATTTCCAGCAGTGGCTCAAGAACTTGTCCCTGCACCCAGGCTCCTTTGCTCACCTTGCACTGAAAACTGGTGAGTCTGCTCTGGCTAATCAAAACAGCGCAGGAAAGAGGTGGTGACAGATTTCATTCCAAGCTTAGAAGTGCCTGCAGTGTGCTTCTGCAGCACCAATCAGCCAGAGTCACTTAAACAAGAAAAAACACGTTCAACCACCCTGTTTCAGACTTGCTCCATCTAGGTTTCCTGCTTTCCTTGCCTTCTGGCTCACTGCCCTACGAATCAGATCATTATGGTTGCCAGTCTTAAAAACAAACACTAATGCCTACCTTCATAAATAAAGTACATCCTCCAAGTACTTTATCAACTTTTTTAGACTTCTAACTTCTGTATTAGAGCAATTCCCCTAAAGAGAATTCCAACTGTTTGGCAAAATATAAATCCTTGTACACAAAGGCTGAGACCAAGAAACTAGAATAACACCAAACCACGATTAGTCATAACAAGATTTCTAGCAACTACTTAATCATAGCTCTGTCCACCCACTGTTACATAAATGAAGCTTGTAACATTTGACTGTAATTAAAAATACGGCCTACAGAAATCCGGCATTTTAACCACTTGACAATAAGTGAAAGCCTTACAAAAGACAACACTGGGTCCCTTATTGCTTCCAGGTACCATCCACGAATCAATGTATTTATATAACCACATACGTATTAAGTCCTGAAAACAAAACACGTCATCTCTTTCCTGGCCTTATCTACACTAAGAAGTTTTATGAAGTTTCCCCACCGCCCCAGAGCTGCTTGGAGCCATGTTATACGACACGCACTGAAAACGCCATTGGAGGACCCGCACCAGCACTTCTTCCACTCTCAAGGCACCGGAGCTGCACAGATGGTTGAAAGTCTCCTGCTTCCCTGCAACTAAAATCCAGTCGCGAGGATTTAATTCCCATTTGCAGCCATGGCAATGGAGGCCAGCTGAAGAACTTGCTGGCTGAATTCCGGAAACACTGGTATCTGCAAACAGGCAGCAGCCTTCACAAAAAGCTTTGATTATGTAATTTCTTTCTTTCTCTGATCCACATGAGCCACCTCCCTAGCAGACATGATGCACAACAGCCCAGGTCTTCATTCAAACATCAAAGAGTACCTGAGATTTCTGTAGGACCATCCCCAGACCCAAGTCCAGTGTTTTTGCTATAGTAGGTTTGGTTACACAGGGCTCTGCCAGACAAGCTGTTTTACCCCCTACCACACACCCTCTCCCAAACATGTTGTTCAGCACCTACAATACTGCTACATTTTTTTAAATTTAGAAGTTCAGTAACACAAGTTACTAAATTTCAATTCACTGCACTCTCCACAGATTTTATCTGAGCCACCCGAGGTGTTCGGCATCCTACACCAACGCTGCGCTCTGTAAGAGGTCAATTACCCTACACACCCTGCCTCTCGACAGGCTATTGAATCAAATGCAGCACGCCTTTAGCAGATAAGGCCTCAAATTAAGCAGGATTCCAAACAGGGCCTCTTAATTCACTGCTCTTCTTACAATATTTCTACAATTAAAAAACGCCTACAAAAGAGCACGAAGTGTGACCATTTCCGTGACATCTAGTAATCATTTCTCCAACATGCAGAACTTCCCCTAACATTACACGACTTCACTGGAGACTTCATACCACTTACCAGCTGCCTTTTTAGAGTGAAAACAAAAGCTGCTAAAAATAACTTACACCAATGCTTTTTCTCAAGTGTCAACCAACAGCAACTCCTGCAGTCACTCCAGTGGAGTGCTCTTCCTCTGTCCCGCACATTCCTATCCTCTATATCATCAAGAAGTCAAAGCAACAGTGGCCGTTTATTTTTCTGCAAACAATTCTCACAGCGAATCAAAAAAAACATGGGCAAAATACGACAGCACAACATACATGCCATGTTTTTCCAGTCAAATGAGTTGTCTAAATAGATACTAGTCAAAGCTCAAAGAACAAACATGAGTTAACATGAGGTAACAGAAACAGCCTAATCATTCACAAATTAAAAAAATAACAATCACACAGGTATTTCTGCAGCTTTGTTTATTTTGTTCCTAGCAGATCTCTGCTGAGGGTACACTGAACAATACCTAACTTTGCTATCACATTGGCAAATCTTTAACTTGCATTGTTTTACAGAAGCACTAAAGCTTTTGCCTTATCTAAGCGAAACACTACAAATTTGCTAGAACACCTGTAATGCCTCAACTTTTGAAGCAGCAGCAAAACAAAAATAGTTCAATATTTAAAAAAAAACAAAAACAAAACACTGAATGGAGAATGATACAAAGCTACCAAAAATGAGCAACAGTACCAGCTGAATGGAACCTTAAGAGAGATTTGTTTCTAACTCAGGAGGAAGGAAAACAAACTAAACTACTGTATTTGTTCACACACATGTACAAAACTCTAGTAGAATTACACCACTGATTTCCAATACAAAAAGCAACAAACATGTTAGGAAGTGGGATGGTTTATAAAGCAAATGCTGAAGAGAACTGTTTGTTGAATGCACTACAGAACATTATACAGTCTGTCCGTGCTGAACTCTCAGATCTAATAGAGGAAGTAGACCAAATTTTTTTTCCCCACCTGAACATGATGCATCACATTTATTTACAGCATTGTCATAGGCAACACAGTTCAGTTTAATTAAAAAAAAACCACAGAAAAGCAATTTTTGTTTTAAAATCAATACAATCAAAAGAACTGTCCACAGTTGTCCTACCTAGCACCAAAGAATTACATTAATACAAAAAGCCTTCATTTGTCAAGATACCACTTTCATGTTCATATTTCTCAAAATCTTACACAGCAAGGCAAAACATATTTGTCACAAAGAGTAAATTTGTCTTTCAACTATACTTGGCTGCCTTTTTATGGACTGATACCCATATCTACATCTTAAAAACCAAAACAACTAAAAAAACCCCAGACAAGTAACTTGAAGATTAAGCTACCACTTGAAATTACAGATAGTGGCAAGACCGTTTAGCTACGCTTCACTCCTCTGTCAGCTACAGAAGTTTGCTGTGATACCAGTTATGCTCAGCCTACACTGGGATTTTTGTTTCTCCCAAGGGAAAAAAAAAAAAGCCCTCTCAAACTGCATAAGACAAGTCTTGTTTTCCAGCTGGCCTGTGATGTTCCCCTGAGCTCTGACATCCACCCAGAGAAAGAATGCCTCCAAGTTGATGGGCATAGCATCACGGAGAAGAACATTCAAGAGTAGCAAACACATAAACTTTTTCCCCACCACAACCCCAGCATTCCTCACACTGAAATCCAACAGCTAAACCTCAGAGTTAACTCGATGCTAAAAGGCATCCTCACGCTGCTTCACTTGTCAGGAACACCGCGTTAGAAAGCTGTAGGTGTAACAGCTCCTTACAGACAAGTGTATCCTGAACTATCTGCACGCCCAGCGCTTCGCCAGCCTCCTGCGGACAGGAGCCGTGCAGGACGGGATGCAGGCGCGCCGGGGAACGCTCTGCTCGCATGCACCGCTGGGCTGCTCCCGGCTGGCACAGCCCCCTCAGCTTTACTGCCAGGACCAGATGTCAGAGATCCCGCTACCAACAGCAATCAGTCTGTTACTCTCACAAAAGAGATCTCAGGTAAATACTAAACTTCCCACATCACCAGAAAAACTGTAGTGGGGGGGGGGGGGTT